GCGATTGCCAAAAAGAGACAATCGCATCCGATTATGCTAACTATATATCTACATGTGTGAGAATGAGAAAACCGATTTACTGAATTTATCAGTACTGACCGACAAATTACCAAACAACTGATTGTGTCTGTAAAAATTTCGCAGAACAGCGAAGCCACGCGCATTCTTTGTGAAAACTCTGAAGCGAAAAGTTGATTTTATTTGGAAGCGGCATAGTACTCTAACTAAAAATCAAAGATAAGGGCAAAATGAAAAAAAGAGCTTTTCAAAACTCCCTAAATAAGGAAAAGAGGATTTTCGAATCCAATATTAAAAAATATAGGGAATTCGCAGAATGTGCGGGAAATGTGAAGAAAAGTGAATTCGCAAATAAAATAAAATATATTAATAGTGATTGTGCAGATAGTGAATTTCTCCTCAGGGGAGACGTCGCATCAGGCCCTGTACTGTCTGCGTCTACGGGTTCTGATTTTTCAATCAACTGTGATGGAGAAATTTTAGGGGGTGATCCAGTTGCACCATCTTTACCGTCTGGATCGTTGCGTGATCCATCTGATCTTGATCATGAATTAGAGTTTGATTCAGTCGAACCTGATCCTGAGCCTTTAGCTTCAGGATCTTTAGATAACTTAGGTTCTTAGTTTGAACAAAAAAGTGAAGAAATTAGGCTATGGGCCATTAGGAACAATGCATCTCAAAATGAATTAGACGATTTGCTTAAAACTTTGCGCAGAATAGGAGTTGAAGGTTTGCCGCTTTCGGCCAAAACTCTCCTAAATACAAGCAGACAAAAGGTTAGCGTTAAAAATATTCCCAATGGCGAGTTTTTATACATAGGTATACAGAAGTATTTTTTATCGAACTCACTCGAAAATATGGAAGAAGTCTTAATCGATGTAGGTATTGATGGCTTACAACTCTTTAAAAGTTCGAATCGAGTTTTGTGGCCCATACTTGGAGTTCTTTCAGACTTCCCTAATGTGAAACCATTTATGATCGCTTGTTTTTCCGGTTTGAAAAAACCGGAAAGCATTAATACTTTTATGGCCGATTTTTGCTCAGAAGTGACGTTTTTGAGAGAAAACGGGGTTAAAGTTGGTCAAAACCAAACATTAAAAAAGTTTAATGTTCGTTTATTTTCTTGCGATTCAGCTAGGGCGTATGTTACAGGTATTATGTCACATAATGGTAAAAATGGTTGCCCCAAATGTTGTCAGGAAGGATTGTATAGAGATAGACGGGTGTGTTTTTTGAAAACAGTTGGTCCACTTAGATCAGATATAACTTTTGAATTGAGAACTAATACCTCTCACCATGTTGCCGAATTTAAAGAAAAAAATAGCGTTTTGGAAGAAGCAGGTTTTGGAATGGTATCCCAATTTCCTCTAGATTCTATGCATTTAGTCGATTTAGGAGTCACTAGAAAATTGCTGAAACTGCTTTTAAAAAAGGCTAATATAAAAAATATAAATCAAAAAATAAAACATGTTGCTCAATTTATTCCATCTGAATTCGGTCGTGTATCTAGAAGCCTTGATGAAATAAATCATTGGAAGTCCACTTTAGGCAATTTTTGTTATACACAGGAATATTTCTTTTAAAAGATTGCATAAATAATGACTCATACTACCTTTTCTTGTTGTTGCATAGCGGTATAAGACTCCTATCAAGTGAGAAGTCGTGTAAGACAGAGGCCAACGTTGCCCAATCTCTCTTAAATGATTTCGTAAATTATTTCGGTAGCATATATGGTGATGAGTTAGTTAGCTTCAATATCCACGGCTTGCTTCATTTGTCAGATTGTGTCAAACAGTTTGGCCCTTTAGATTCCTTTTCAGCGTACAGATTCGAAAACTATATGCAGTTCCTTAAAAAACTGGTTAACAAGCCCAATCAAATTTTACAGCAAATATATTTAAGGCTCAATGAGAGACAAGGACTTAATTCTGATTTTAACAATACTTCGATTGGATCATTTCAGATAAATCCTCTTAAAGAAAAAGATTGATTTGTTTTAGTCCAAAAATTGGACCTTTGAAAGCTTTTAACATTATAAAGTCATCCGAGTCAGATAAAATTCATTGTAACGCTTTTCAGACAATAGAAAATTATTTTGAGGAACCTCTTCTTTCCGCCAGTGGTCTGGGAATAGTTTTCGCTAGTAATTTAAGTTCTGAAGTAGTTGAAGTTGCTATTGAAGACATTGACTATAAGTACTTTTGTATCCCTCACACTGGATTCCTCTCTTGCACAATTTGTTTCACGATTTTTCATACAATACCGCACATTCTGTTTGAATTAAATAAAACAAAACCATAAATTTAATAAAGTTATATAATTTTACATGAGCTTCAACGTTAGCAATCTTTTTGTTCCAAGACAGTCAGGAGCGAAATGGTAAGCGAAACCAATTTTCTTTGAGTTACAAACATGTTTGTAAATTTTTCTTGGCATAGATCTTGAATCAATAATTCAAAAGAGGTGCTACACGACCACAAATGCCAATCATATGCAGGCAACCACATCTTCACCAATGAGCCCAGAAATAGCTGAGGCACCTGCAGCATTCAATGAAGGTAATTTAAAATTTTCCGCTGAATTCAAGTTAATTAAATATTTTGTTTCATTTCAGAAATGATGGGAATGCTAAAGGAAATTTTAGAAAACCAAAAGGAGCTTGCAGCAAAGATGACGTCGTTGGAAGCCAATGTGTGTAAATGTTTTTCATACTAAATAAATTTTTTAATTAATATGTCCTATATTTTAATAAATACTTATGTTTGCAACTTATGTTTATTTATTTATTTTCAATAATTTTCATTGCAAATATAATTCAACCTACTTTTTAATATTTTTATTGAGCTTTGTACCACGATTGTTTATTAGGAA